AATTTGCATATTTCTTTGAAATAAAAGGATATTTTGCCAAAAAAACTATCCAGTGGCTTTTGTCATGCCCTAGCCTATCTACCATAAAAATATGAGCGAAATCGAATTTTCGACCCTTGCCGATCAGTTATTTTCCATTTTTATGGACAAGGACTCTTAATTAGAAAGGATGACAGTTGTCAGAGTTTAGCTCGGATATGTCGCCTACAAATGGCAATTCGAGCGAACTAGAAGTCCTTGAAAAAGTTAAGGCCACATCAACTGAGTCAAAGGGTCTTGATCTATTGCAAAAACATAAGATATATCTTTCGGGTATGTATCAGGGAACAATTGCGGAATTTAGTAAAACGGAACCACGAAGACAAAATATTGTTAAGGAATTAAACTTAAACTTGAGCCAACACAAGGGAGGTCTTCAAACAGAATCCGTCGATAATTTGCTGTAGACAATGGTAATCTTGGATATTTACCATTTACATGGGAAACCCGGAAATTCCAGTTGGAAAATCAAATGGTTCACGCCATTCCATTTGGGAAGCTTCAGAACATATGGGCTTTGATTTAAGGTGATGCTATTTTTCTGCTCTTTTTAGTCTCTCTAGCTGATGTGAATGTACTTTATAACGATTCCCTCTCCCGCAGCGTCGAATTTAATTGTTTCATGTTTATACCTGAAATTTCCAACCGGATGGTTTTTGTAAATGGTAAGTACCCCATATCTATCTAAAATCTATGTCTCCTGTAACCCTTCGGGCAAGGCACTGACAAGACCCCACATTGGCACTGTCTCGACGAAATTATTTTTCTGCGTGTAAGAGGGCTTATTGAGTATGCCCAACGTCTTTAGCCGAAGTTGTAAGGCATTTCAGGGGGAAAATGTTACAGTTTATAAGAAGCAGCATTAAACTTTCAACAAGATACACTTCCAAACCTGCGTCGGGTTTCTTGATGGTGTTACAGATATAGCGATCGTCGATCGGAAATCGACCCTCTGCACAGCCACATTTTTCTATTTGAATCATTGCCAGACATGACCTCATGCAAGACTGCAAAAAAAAAAGGAGAACGAGAAGGAGAAGCAATGAATGAGTCTCTACGTAAAGCCTGGGAGGAAGGCTGGAGGAGTTGGGGAATGGGTTTGGGTACTCATTCAGGTTGTAGTGTGCAAACGTCCTTTAATTTTGGAGCAGTTGTAAGATTTCTGCAAATATATGGACATCCGAGATGGCTGATCTGAGACAGCAGACATTTTGACACGTGACGTTATTCAGTTGTGATATGGCTTCACGAGGAGCACGTGGTTATTACTGAAGTAAATAGTCTGTGCTAAACTCTTTCTTAAGTTTTAAAGAAACCTCATTGGATGCTTTGACCCAACTCCCGTGCGTCAAAAAAGCAAGGAAAAGAAAGGTTTCTGGGTTGATCCAATACTGAACTCAGATAATCGGTATTAAAGTACATACCTCCCGTGAATAAAAGGATCCAAAATTCTTGTGATAAATGTCTTCATGATCGTGACTATTAGATGCTCTACAGCTTTGATTATTGAAAGGATCCACTCTCTCTATGACTTCCTGAAAATAAAAGGAATAACATGACAATAAAGAAACAACTTAAGCCAGAAAAAAGGCACAACAAAATCCGGACCTAATACTAACATTATTGAAATTCTAGGACTCGAGAAGTATTCGAAACCGTCAAATAACAACATCCGTAAAATAAATATGTATCGGTATAGTACAGACGAACTCAAAACGGCGCTATACTATGAAAACTTATTGTTCGATAAAATATTGAAATTACAAATTGTTTAATTAAAATAAATTGTTTAATTTATACTAAAACCACATTGAAAACGACAACAAAAACAACAAAAGCACTCGGCAAGAACCCAAACAAACAAACAAACAACAAAAGAGCACCATTAACACCATCTTCAGTAACAACACAAGAAGTATATACTGCATACATTAGTCCTTAGAATTAGTACTGTTACGTTTCTTTCTGTATGAGAGGAAATCGAAAATATTGTGAAAAGTGAACTGATCAACATGACACGAGCGTAAGACAGAGAAAAAATCTGAGTCCCCGTTCTTTACCAGACTGGGTATATATGATTCTTAATAATAAATAAATAAAATAATAAATAAATATTTATATAGCGCCTATCCATGCCTGCTCTA